TACTGGTGGGTTCCTAGCGTACGTGCTCGACCTGCCTATGGCGGGAATGAGGCCTTTGCAAGTGGCACTTTGAGCTGCATTGTGGATTTAGCCTTTGCTGGTACAAAACAAAAAAAAAGAGGTTTCTGGGCTACACGCTGCTTGGCTAAAAGCATAGACCCATGATAGCTCCCAGAGCTGGTGGTAAACCACCGCCATGTTGGGAAGCTAAGGTGGGCGGAGCCAGCAGCCACAGCTGCTGCAGTTTAAGGCAATAGATTCACAATAAGACAGATTCAGATGTAATAGTTTACAATGTGTGTAAAATATACGTAGGCTTGAAAGAGACAAAAAAAAGGTGATATATACAGTATAGAAACAAATACATAGTTTAAAAAAATAAAGTCTTTAAAGAGACAGTAAAATTAATATAAAAAATAAGCCACGTGAAGATGAATATTACACAGAGAATCTGGATTGTGTTGTCTTTGGGACTTTTAACTGCAGAAAAACATTTGATTGTAAAAGCTGTTGAGTTATGCCAAAATGTATATTTTAAAGGTACCTTGACTTCAAAATTTGGATATAAGGATATGTTACTTTGGAAAGGAGGCTCTGCTTTTGTTTCCACAGAAAGCCAGAGGCTATGGATTTGTTCCAGATTAAGACACATCAGGTTTGACCAGCCAAGACCCCCTGAAAGGTCTCCGATGACACCATGGCCCAGATGATCCAACATCCAGAATGGTTTGAAGGCAACTGGCTCAGACGATACACCCTCATGGACTATTCCATAATCCTAAAATTTTCTTTGTTTCCCCATAAGATACAGCGCCCCCCTCCAGCAGGAAGTAGTAAGAGAAGCAACGCCCAAATTCCCAAATTGTATGTAATTTTACTTTGTTAAGGTTAAAACCTTCTTTTTGAAAAAAAAAAGGGGGAAGTGCTGTGGAATGTTCTGTATGGCAAATGTGTTGCTAATTAGTTAATAAATAAAACACTGATTGGCCATTGGCTAGGCAGGAAGTGTAGGTGGGACAAGGAGGAGAATAAAGCTGGGAAGTGGAAGGCTGAGTCAGAGAGACGCTGCCAGCCGCCACGATGACAAACAGCATGTGAAGATGCCGGTAAGCCACGAGCCACGTGGCAAGGTATAGATTAATGGAAATGAATTAATTTAAGCTGTAAGAACAGTTAGCAAGAAGCCTGCCATGGCCATACAGTTTGTAACCAGTATAAGTCTCTGTGTTTACTTGGTCGGGTCTGAGTGGCTGTGGGACTGGCGGGTGACAGAGATTTGTCCTGACTGTGGGCCAGGCAGGAAAACTCCAACTACATATACATATACAGAGTAAATGAAAATCTCCCATCTGGTCTAATAATGTGCCCCCCAAGAGACAAGGACCATCTAACAAAAATCCCAACACCAGGCATGAGAGACCTCCTTTGAGTCAGGGTTGTCCAAGAGACTCCTCAAATATTACAGGCTATTGCTGCTGCCCTTGGTTGCTTCTCAGAGGTAGAATGGAAGTCCCTCTTGATGAAGACATCATGTACTTCAGACACAGGGCCCAGAGGTCCTCATCTGGAAATGACCTGAAAGCCTCCTCCCTGAGGACTAGCTTTCAAGGTATCAGAAGGTGCCATGCAAGATTGCAAAGAAGAAGAGAAACAACCATGCAGCTGTAACACTTACGAACCACAGCAATGACCACACAGCACAGTAACCCTAAGGGTGCAGTGGTGGCCCAGATGCCTTGGTGGTAACCAACAGCTCTCTAATTGGACTTAGACACACTCCACAAGAAGGAAGTTATTCCTGGTACTGGAAAGCCAGCCAGTCATTCAGGGCTAGTGATGCCGTGGATCTTGGAGGAGAACCTATAATCACTATGTTACTAAACCAGCATTATCGCTAACTACATTAGGAATATTTATTCTTATAGCCACAGATAAATAAAGTCATCCCGCATCAAGGAAAGTTCTCACAACAGACAGAGGTCATTACAGAAAACCACAACCAATCAAAGTGTAGTTGTGGAGCTCAGTCCCAATGGCTATATCTACAATACAGTTCCTGTACCTAAGGCTCAGGGATCATTGCAGAAGATGGAGGAGAAAGGCTGTGAAAGCCAGTCTGTATCTCAGGAAAGAACACACCAGCTGGTTATCCAATACCAAGTGGTTAACTCTGAAAGCATACACACAAGGAATGTTATGCAGACTGAGCAGCTTATACTTATATATTGGGAATATCTATATCTATGCCTACTTATGTAGATATGGACATAGATGTATAAATATGTTCGTATACAACAGTAATTAATGAAAAAAGAGACCATGAATCTTAAAAGAGCAAGGAGACATATATGGAAAGGTTTGGAGGGAAGAAAGGGAAGGAGAGAATGATATAATTATTATAATCTCAAAAAATAAAAGAAGTGATCATAAGTTTTAAATGCTCAAGGAGAATTTGATGCACATTTCCCCATTTAATACAGAATATGGAGAATATGAATTTTATGGAGATATTTAGACCAAATCCTCATTCCATTATTCATGACTAAATTAACAACACACAAAATATCTCATAGTAAACATCCACAATACTGTTTAATTTTAAAATGGGACAAAAGTCTAGACAAATTCATAAATCATTAGAGCACATACTGCTCCTTAAGCCATATTTAATATCCAAATAAAGACAACCAAGGGATATTTCCAGTTAGCATGACACAATAACCCAGTATACATTGGGGAATGCACTGGCCCCTTATCAGGAAAGACACACAGACCCATGATGGCACCCTTTCCTCTGATGTCTCATATCATAAACACTATGATAGCAAGTTAACCATTACTAAAAACTTATCAACTTCTTTCACCTCTCCAAGGCCACCTATGAAATGCATTTATAATTCTTCTGCAGGGTTGTTAGCACATCCCTTCATGCAGTAATCACAGTACCAATCAGTACTATGTTGTACACACCACATATCATTCAAATATGACATAATCTTTACCCCCAGCAAGCAGACAGGCAAGGACCTGAGACTTGCCCAAGGTTTGGTATAGGACCTAGAAGTGGACAGACACTTGAGACATCTCAGTCACCTTCCCTTTGTGCCTGACATGGGTAAGGCAAAGGTGTTTGGACAACCACAGCCTTGCTCCCTCCAAAGGACACTTTCACCCATTTGTAGCAATGGTTTCATCAGACAAATACCAGATTCAAAGCACACCACCATGCCAGAAAATTTAGAAGGTGAAAGACTTCCCACATAGCTGCAGATATGTGCCCATGCTTTGTCTTCAAGAATAGTTCAGCGAAATGACTCAATGGAGCCTCTTATGCCCAGTATCCGTGGTAACCAGACATCCCACTGGCTTTGAGCAGAAACACAGACTCTTCAATTCAAATATAAGGGATACTCAGCGAGTGAAAAGTCTAGCTTTGTAAACTGGAGTCATTGAATATTTATAACCATTCACATTTTCTGGCATTTTAAGTCTCATAAAAACAAAGAGCTACTCAAGAGTTTCAGGTCTCAAAAGATGCCACTGCAGGGTCTAGGATCATAAGACTCACTTTTCTAGGAATGGAAACTACTTAATGATTGCTCTCCAGGGTGATTTACCCACAGTCTCTTAGCGAGTTCGTCTCCGGCTAGCCTGTCATCTGTGCTCGCCAACAAACCTGATGAGCTGAGTTCGCTCCCTGCAACCCGCATGACGGAAAGCAAGAACCAACCAACTCCTTGCAGGTTGTTCTCTGACCTCCACACTCACACTGTGGTATGTGTACATGTGCACACACACAATCAATCAATCAATGAATGTAAATTTAAAAATTATTCTTTACCATTTTATTCCCATAAACTACAAAATACATTGTGAAATTTCCCTGTCATTTTCAATGCATAACAGAGACACAAAGAATAAAAACAAATCTGAAAAGGTATATATTTACTTTCTTACCCATGAAATGTAAACTAATTCCATTCTTCAGACTTGAAATCATGAATGTGCCTAAGAGGAAAAATGAGTCCCAGGTTGCATCTGCTGAGCTGTGGGGAAGATGAACCCAATAGCTCCTTCCAGGGACGGGGTTCATGGCGCACTGAGAAGGTGAGGACAGACAGACAAGCACTTAAAACCAAAAAGCAGGAAGTCTGTAGTCTCTCTGTCTCTGTCTCTGTCTGTCTGTCTGTCTGTCTGTCTCTCTCTCTCTCTCTCTCTCTCTCACACACACACACACACACACACACACACACACACACACACACACACCACTTACTGTGGCCAAATACAAAAGTTTGGCTTTCCGAGAATTTTTGCTGGTAGCTTCTTGGCTTAAAAAAAAAAAGAGTCATAGGATCTTCTGCACAAAACAGTCTCTTGTTCAGTTAACAACCCCACTGTGTTTACACAGGTGAAGTTGCTTGTTAAGCTGTCTACTGCCCAGGAGAGCAGAGCCCAGAGGGGAGCATGTCCACCTGTGCTGTTTAAGAGCAGAGTGGCGGGTTCATGATAAAGGTAACACTGAGGGGCACAGGAGTGTCAGGAGGGACTCCTCACTCAAACGTGGGTCTCTCCAACTGAGTCCTGGCAATAAGGAGTCAACTGTAAAAAAATGTGTGGGGACACCTAGGACAAGGAAGGAAGCACATGAGTGAGGCTCCAGTGCAGGCGTCAAAGACAGTCCCATGTAGCTGCAGTGTGGGTTCCTGTCTCCTCACACTAGAAGGACGTGGCTGTGGCTTTGATCCTAAAGCTAAAATCAACATCAGCTCAGGTTCCTTCGATAGAAGAGAGGGTGAGTAGAGGTCGGGTGTGGAGGTGATAAGCGGCAGGCCCCCAGTGGCCACGGGGCCACTGGGCTGCATATGCTGCACCCATTTGAAATCATTCCTATCTGACATCACAAGTGTAGGAATGGTTCAAGGTCCCTGGGGAAAGGGGAAAATGTTTCAGTGGTGCCACTGATGCGTTAGTACCCTGTCCAAACACATTTTAATTTTGAGTATACTGAAGTGGCGGAACAGAACCTCTGCTGAAAACTAACCTATGTGGAGAGAACACTGGCCACAGACTTGGGCTGGAGCCCTGTGGCCTGTTGCAACAGGCGCCTTGCACGTACTCATTTGTTCAAACATTTAAAGGCCTTCTATGTACCAAGAACTATGCTAGCAGCTGGGGACAGAAGGACAGGACAAGTCCTCCCCGTCAAGGGACTCAAAGTCTGAAAAAGGACATTGTAAGTATGCTGGAGATGCACTATCTTGTAACAAATGCAATGCTATAACAAATACAGAATGTCCAGGGTATCCACAGAGGAGGTCTGCATTAGCGAGGGACAAAAGCCGACTTTCTGAAGAGTAGGGCACCAGAATGGAGCCCTGCAGGGCAACCAACTGGTGAAGAAGCAGGGTCGGGTCTTCTTGGCAGACAGCCTTGCAGGGGCAAAGGCAGAGAATGGTGGTTCATTCAGAGAGCAGCATCATGAATGCATAGGATGGGAATGGGAAGGGAGGGGATGTTTCCATAGCAACCAGGGGATGGACCAAGAAGAGCCTTACGTGTTACATTAAAACACTAACATACAGTGGGAGAAGAGGACTCCATGGTATCTATAGGCTCCTGGCCCAGGGGACTAGAGGAAGGGGTCCCATTAGCACGAGAAAGAAGATTGAGTGGGAAGCTGAGAGCAGTTGGGTGTGAGGAGCTGGGAGAAGAGTGAAATGTCACTAGACATCTTGGAACATGAAATACTACGGGCCAGGAATGGAGAGTGTGGCTTAGGCACCCATACACAGAAAATCAAAGAAGCCGTGCTGGAGGTCAGATGGTCCAGAGAGAAAGGAAGAGGCCCTGGGACAGTCAAGAACAGGTTCATGGGAGAAAATGGGGCTTCTCAAGGAACAAAAATGCTGAGATGTGGATAGAAGAATATAGAGCCCTGTGAATCAAAGATGAGGCAGGGGGATTACCTTAGTCAAAAGCCACCGAGAGAGGTCTAGAGGGGCCAGGGTGAACAAGCACGGCTTTAGAAGCAGGGTTAGGAGAGGAAGATATTCCAGGGACAGATGAAGGTATGGGGTCAAAGGTAGTCCCGGGTGGGATGCTGGGACGGACTACACACCACAGACACCATCTGAACCCTATTGTCATGACCGGTGTGGAGAACCAGCGTGGCCGGGTGTGAATGCAGCAGAGACGGCTCATGTGTCTAATTTTCAGCCCGTCTTTCCATTAGAACTTGATATTTTCTATCTGGCATCCCTCCACTCCGACGCTCTCCAGTACCTGGTAGGCTTCACACTCATTTCCGCTTTGTGATTAGACCTAAACAGCAGCTGTTTTCAAGTGGTGGTGAGAGGGCCAGCGTTAAACAGCAGAAATCTCAGGCATCATCGGAGAACGAGAGTGTGGGGTGGAGCGAGGGAGAAAAATACAACAGAGGAAGGAGGAGGAGAAGGGGGAGGGCAGGGGAGGTGAGAGAGAGTAGTCATGATGAACTGGGGGAAAGGAGAGGGAAGAGCGGGAGCAGAGAAGGACGGGAAGGAGACAGGACTGAAAAGCTGGAGAACAGACAAAGGAGCCTGGGGCACAGCTCAGTGGCGGAACACAGAAAGGCTCTCAGTGCATCCTTAGCACTTCAAACAAATTGAGGAAATAAGTTGTCTCATAGTTTGAATTGTATGAAAAAGATGGGAAAGAGGGAGGGAGAAGACAGGAGAGATCATTTTAAGCTGAGGGGAGAGGCTGGCTGAGAGGGTGGTTCAGACTGCGAAGAAGGGGAGAGGGATGGAGGGAGAGAGGAGAAGGAGGCGGGTGGGACATTAAACCAGGGAACTGTCTGAATCAGTGTTGCTGCTGTTTTTCTAAAGAAGCATCATTATGGACGGTCCACTCTAGGTCAGGCTTGTCTGCCAGACTATGTCCAGAAGAGGTGGGGAGGCTGTGGTCGGTGTTCATGGTGGCAGAGGGCAGCTGTGAGAACAGAGCTGCAGAAGGAGACAGCAGACCCAAGAGAGCATCTCCCCCACCCACAGAGAGCCTGGAGCTTCCTGGCTGGCGGGGGCAAGCTGTCCCTTCTGGGAGCCAGAACTAAGAGGGGGTCCGCAGACACTGAGGTTGAGTGGGCTGTGAGAGAGTGAGCCTTGACAAGGAGCCACCTTTCCACAGCAGGGTAGTTACAGATTTAGAATAATCGAATACTCTGGAATGTGGGGAAAGGAAAGGACTGGGGCCTGGCAGGATGGCTGGGAGGATACAAGTGTTTGCCATGAAGTCTGACAACCCAAGTAGAGGTGGAAGGTGAGAACCGACTTTACAAAGTTGTTCTCTGACCTAAACACACATCCACATATGCCACACCCATCCACATCACACACAAACACAATAATAAATTTAAAAATTTTTAAAAAGAAAAAAACGACCATGGATTAGAATAGAAAAGAAAATTGGGACCAGATTGAAAAAGGCCCATGTACCATGGAGACTTACCTTAATGTATACAAAGATTTTAAATATGAGAGAATGGAAACCATCTTTACATTTTTTAAGTATCATTCTAGATAAAAGAAAAAATTGTGAGAGATATTCGACTCTGACTAGGGATGTGCTTGAATTACTCGGAAGTACACTGATTTCCTGCTTTGAGATGCTCATGGGACCAATCCCTCAAGAACAAGATGCATGGGTTGGCTCAAAAATTCCACCGCCCCCAAGGAAAACGGAATGCGTAAAATCAAAGTGGTAGGTGAGTACTCATTGTGCAATCCTCTCAACTTCCCTTATGTTTGGAAGATTTTGTAATAAAGCCCTGGGGAGTTTTATCCTTCTAGCTGTTGCATGGGGGGAACCAGGGAGTCGGTTTGGAGTACCCAAGCCTGACCCCAGCTGCAGGGGGAAGCCTGACCCCAGCTGCAGGGGAAGCCTGACCCCAGCTGCAGGGGGAAGCCTGACCCCAGCTGCAGGGGAAGCAGAGGTACTCAGGAGGGTTAGTCAACCCCACAGCATTTGGATGGACAAAGGAGAGTGAGTGGTGTACTGTTCCTCCGCCCAAGTTACAAACTTGTAAAAGAGCTTTAACTATTTAGAGGATGAGGAGGATGTTCAGGAGTGAGAACCCTGAGTTCCCGACAGGCCTTGCCACTGCCTCTGACTTCAAGTCTTCGGGAGGGCTTTTTCTGTCTTCAAACTCACTGCTTTGGAGGACCTGATAAAGGGTGGGAGGACAGGACAGTCATCACCATCCAGCGTTCCCTGTGACCCCAAAGGAGAGAGACTTCAGGTCATTTCATACGCCGTCCTCCTCCTCCCCACATCCTTCAGAACAGCCGGAACCCACCACACCTCTTCCCCTGGCCGTTCAATCATTCTGTTGTTGTTTTTATCTGTTTCAAGCAGCTCCATCCACAGCCAGCCCTGATTTAGCAGCCTTCGGTTAGAAAACAGATTTCTCTGGAAGACTCAGCCACAATAAGGCAAAATGAGCTCTGCTCAAGGACCTCAAACTACTTCTCCAGGGACAGATGTCGGGGCTGATGGCCCTCTTGAAAGGCAGCCTCTACAGTTGTCCCTCCCTCCCTCCGCCTGCATCTGCGCTGGCTGTAATTTCGACTCATTTCCTACAGCTTTGTCCTGGAGGTGGCTAGCCAGTTCCTCTTTGTCCCTCTCTCCGCCCTGTGGAGGACAGTTTTCCATTTCAGTAATGACATGTGTGACTCATTTCTGGATTTTGGCTCTTGTCACATCTACAGCCATTTAAAACTGAACATTCAACACCAATCTCTTACTTGTCAAGGCTTGCTGCTCCCTGGGTGTCTATGAAGAACAGGACACCAGTACCTGCCTCTACTGTCCCTGTGGACACCGATACAAAGAGACCCACATGGCAGAAATGCCTTTCCATATGGTGTCTGACTTCAGGAAGGGACTCTCAGCTCTGCTGAAGACAGTATGTGAAAGTTGGGTTGGTGACCACACTGTCCCCTCCCCTCCCCAAAAAAACCAGCACACACCTCCCACACGTACACAATCTGACTGTGGCATTTAACTTTTTTTTTTTTTAAAGAAGATTGAGACCTGGATGGTTCCTACTCCTCAATCCTGGAGCTATCCCACTCACCTGGTCCATAAGCATGAGCTATGAAGTCAAACAAGCCTAGTTCAGATCCCAGTTCATTCTCTGAGCCTCAGTTTCCCCTGCCTTTGAAAAAGAGTGCCCATTTGGGGGATTATTTCAGGCAGTAAGTTAGGCTGTGTGTCAATGCCTTAGCCTTCAGTTCCATGACTAGTCTTTTCGGATGCTCAGTACCCAGTACCCAGGTGTGGAAAATGCCACCCCCACCAATCCCCACACATGATTAATATGCTTTATATACTGACTGGAAGCTGAACACCATGGGCTGTATTTTGTCTTCCTCGGTGGAAAACACATTTGTTTTTATTTTATTTATTTAGGATAAAGCTTCAGTGACTTTGGCTACTTCTCCTTTGGAGACAGAACATAAGAAACAAACAAAGATATGGGCATGGCCTCCACCGGGACCTTTGGAGCAGAGGTCACAGACCATGCTCTGTGTGCAAATGCAGGCTGTCCCTGTGCGTGCTGAGAGGTGGCTTTTGTTTTAGCTTTGGTGCTTAAATCTTTGGTTCTCCAAAACTCCGCCTGTTTGCATCCTGTGTGCTGTGGAGCTGGCTCCTGCTGCTGTGAGAGGACACTGTCACTCGGGGCACCAGTGGCTGAGTGGAGGAAGGGACGGGGGAACAGAACATGGGTGAGGAAGAGAGCTTCAGAGAGCAGAAGATGAGGATGAAAGATGTTAGGACTTCCCTGTGCCAAGACCTTCTCATGACCTCCCTTTCCACAGTCCCTGTCAACTGCTCTCACTACGGAACGGCAAACAGAGAATCTAGGTTATCCCCAGTTCTCACCGGTTAGAGGCAGTGCTGAGAGTTGAACTTACCACTGACTGCAGGGATCTCTGGGGCAGGGATGTCTTGTTTCTCTACGAGACCAACTCTTGGATGCGTGGAGGCTGAGGCTGCTCAGCTCCGGCCGTTGCTGCTCCCTGCACCTGCATCTCATAGAAACGGAAGGTGCTAAAAGGGCAGCAGGTGGGGTGCCCTCAGCCTGCTCGCCTCTGTCAGGCCGGAAGGAGCAGCAGGAGGGCCCTGCCTTGGAAGTAAGTCTGAAGAGAATGCCAAAGGGGCTGGCGTCTTCCTCTCTCCATCCTGCCTTCCTAGTCTGAGAACGTCTGTTCTCTATGCAGACGTGGAGCTGGCGCTGTGGGGAAAATGCCTTGGGCTTAGACTTGATGATGGGCTCTGCAGTGGAGTCTGGGTCTCCAATCCCTAGGATGTCTGAGGTGCTCAACTCAGGCTAGCCTTGCCTATGCCTAGGGCAGGTTTCCACCAGGCCTAGAGGACAGAGCAGCTGTGCGGTCCTGGGTGGTGAGGGCTGAATGAGGCATTCCAGAAGCAGGGTGATCCTTCGCTTTGGCAGAGGGGGATCTCTCTGTCCACCCCCACCCCACCCCCCACACTGTTAGTACAACCTAGAAGAGAACTGGGAATGTAATAATCAGCAGGCATCAAGGTACAGGCCAGCCTCCCTGTTCCTGTGCTAGGGTGAGGGCTTAGAGGAGAAGGCGCCTCACATCCTCATGCCTGGATGCCCCCCCCCCCCCCCGCCCCCGGCTCCGAGAGGCCAGCAGGGTTCCTAACATTGGCTGGCCCAACCTGATGCTTAGGGTGGCTTTGAGACAGACTGGGGCTGGCTGAAGTGAGCTGCTGCTCTAAGGAGAGGACTCTAGTTGGAGGGACAGGGTGGGCATGAGATACTCTGAGGAGCCGTGGGCCTGTGTGAACCCTTCCTAGGGAATAGAACCAGAGTTGGCACTTCATGGATAAGGCTTGCGTGGCCACCCCACCATGCCCTTTGGTCACAGGAGAATCTGCTTACTGGGAATTGGTTACTTGGCCAAGAGGCTGGCTGTGGGCTGGGACTGAAGCTCTATACTCCCAGTCCGTGCATCACTGAGTGGTGCATGGTTGGGACCATTCCCCACCTGCCCTCCTCTTCAGAGCTGCTGTTTCCATTTTCCTTTCTTTCCCCTTGTTGCTCGGTTTGGTTTCTGCATCTCTGCAATGGTTGGCAGTGGGGTGTCAGATCCAAGTATTATTCTACTTGCCTTGACATTCTCTGGTGCTGCTCTACACAGAAGGTTCTAGGAGCAGCCAGAATGTTCCAGCAACCTAAGGGAGCCTTGGAGCCCCTACTCCATCTTCAGTGCCTGGTGTTGTGGAGGGATTGGGGTGGATGCCTATCACAGGCTCCTCTCTGCAGCAGGTCATGGCACAATGGTGGCAGATGCTCTTGGGATTGTGGACAGTCATGCCCACCTTGGCAGGGGATAAGCCGGTCAACATCTGCATGAATGACAAGCACCACAAGCGAGAACCTGGCCCAGAAGACAAGCTCTTCTTGGAGGTACAGGGACCAGAACTGGCCCAGGGACTGAGGTGGCTTCTTAGACTTATTAGAGAAGGAATACAGGCAGGTGGTCTCTGTACCCCATCAGCCCTGATCATTTACTTCCTTAGTTTGTGTTTCTTATCCAGGATTTTGCTGCTGAGCTGCTCTAGCCATTTGGGAAACAGGCCATGTGGTGATCACAGAGGCTCTGTTGGCTAACCATGGGTCAGTGCAAGCCTTCCTGCCAGCATGTGCCGGCCAGACACAGCACTTCGTTTGTTTACTTGGCAGTCTCCTGATGGCAATTACAGGGGGAGGGACATCCCAGCTCTAAGTCCCTCCCTACCCTTCCTCATAACCCAGGCGCCTGCATCTCCCGGGGACTTCCTTCTGTTTGCTCTCCTGGATGTGTTACCTCCCCGGAGCTGACATCAGGAAGCTGTGTTCTGTGGCAGGAAGAAAAGGGGAGTGGGTCAGTGGGCAGGTGCCTCCTGTTCTTCCGGTGCATGGTGACGGATCCCAGGGTCTCTCCTCTACAGAGGTGCTCATGGTGTCCCCTCTCCTGACACCCTTCTGCCCAGGACCCTGAACCTCAGCCTCTTACCCTCTGCCTTTTCCCTCCCCCTCAGTGCATGCCCTGGCGGGCCAGTGCCTGCTGCACACTCGCCACAAGCTGGGAAGCCCACCTGGAGGAGTCCTCGTTCTTTAACTTCAGCATGACGCACTGTGGACTGCTGACCCCGGCCTGTCACAAGCACTTCATCCAGGCCATCTGCTTTCACGAGTGTTCCCCCAACCTGGAGCCTTGGATCCAGCCGGTAAGGAGACAGGGGGCAGACCCGTTCCATGCCCCTCCACTAATCCTAGGCCGGCATCTACAGGAGTCAAGTGGGAACAGGAGATGCTGTCCCTCTAGAGAGAAGAGCAGAGCCAGAGGCCTGGGAAAGGGACGAAGAGGAAGCTGTCTCTGTCCCTGAAGGATAGCACATCTGATGTGGCCAGTAGGATGAGGCTGGGTGGATGAGATGCATCTGAGTGTGGATTCCATCTCCTCTACTTACAAACTGTATAGCCTGGCAAATAGCCACCCAGCTTCGTGGTTCTCACTTATCCAATAATAATAACAACTAATAAATAATAATAATAATAATAATAATAATAATAATAATAATAATAATAAAAGTACCTAGGGCTAGGAGACGGCTCAGTTGGTAAAGCACTTGCCACACAAACGTGAGAACCCGAGTTCAATCCTCAGAACCCATATGAAAAAGCCAGGCGTGGAGGTGAGCTGTTGTAACCTCAGCATGCCGAGGCAGAGACAGGTGGGTCCCTGGGGCTTGCCAGCCAGGCAGCCTAGGCTGCTTCGTGAGCTCCGGGCCAGTGAGAGGCTCTGCCTCTAAACCAACATGGATAGCGCCTTCAGAGCAACACTTGAGGCTGTCCTCTGACCTCCACTCAGGCACACACACATTCCCTTGCACTTACAGGATGTGCACACGTGCACGCACAGAGAAAGTACTTAAGGACTTTATAAAAGATTAGATCTCTCCCTCTCTCTGCATGCAGGTGGTCCCGGACAGGCAGGAAGAGCGGGTTTGGGGTGTGCCACTGTGCCGGGAGGATTGTGAGGAATGGTGGAAGGACTGCCAGTCATCTTACACGTGCAAATCCGACTGGAACAGTGGCTGGGACTGGAGTCAAGGTGAGTGGACCCGCCAACTGGGTGAGGATGCAAACCCCCTTCTACCCCCTAAGATGGGGGGACATGAAAGGGACTGGGCAATGGGAAGGTAGGAGACCATCCTCAACCTCCACAGGGAAGAACCGCTGCCCAGTCCAGGCGCCCTGCCGCCCTTTCCCACATTACTTCCCCACCCCTGCTGATCTCTGTGAGAAGATTTGGAGCCACACATTCAAGGCCAGTCCTGAGCGCAGGAATAGTGGACGGTGTCTGCAGAAGTGGTTTGAGCCCACCCAGGGCAACCCCAACGTGGAAGTGGCCCTCTACTTCGCCAGCTCTGCCTCGGCCCAGGAGCTTTCTTACACCCTCTCAGCCTTCTCTCTGTACCTGCTGCTCCATTCCTGAGGGTCCCCTTTCCTACCCACATCCTTGATCCTTCTGGGCCATGGCTATCTCCTCCCTCAGGCTGTTCAGGTTAAGAGCAGGCCTGAACTTCCCATGCTACACGGGGTCCCCTCCACTGTCTGGCTCTGCCTCCGCTGGCCTGGATGGCAGCTGGTACTCAGCAGTCTAAGGTGACTTGTTTCTCCTGCCTTTAGGAATGAGCACTACTATAGGATTCCAGGCACTTCTTATGTCTACATCCATCTTTTTTTGTGATAGAGACAATGTTGACAGCCAAGTGACTGTCCTATCATGGTACCCTCAATAAAATGACAGGGAAACTTTCCTCTTCATGTGGCACTCTGTTCTAGTCCCATTGGTACCAACCCAAGATGAATAAAGAGGGAGCTGATTTGTTCTCATTGAGATTTTAATTTCCTCGATTACTAATGGGGGTGAGAATTTTTAATATTAATTGGCCATTTGGAATATTTCTCTCTCTCTCTCTCTCTCTCTCTCTCTCTCTCTCTCTCTCTCTCTCTCTCTGTGTGTGTGTGTGTGTGTGTGTGTGTCCATGTCCATCCCTTCTCTCCGTCCCTCCCCTTCCCTTTCTTGAAAAAGACTCTCCTGTATCCCAGGTTAGCCTGGAACTAGATGGCCTTCATCTTCTGGCCCTGCCTCCACCTTCCTGTAGCTGGGATTATACACTTTCGCCACTGCCCCTGGTTTCATGCTGTGCCAGGAGCTACCAGGGCTCCTACACGCCAGGCAGCACCCTTCCAACCGTGCCCATCCCGGCCCCTCTTCCTCTTCCCCACTGCCACGGCGCTGTAGTCTTGAATTCTGGACCCTTGAGCTCTGAGCTGACTTTCCCGCTTTCTGATACTGTCTTCTCCCCCAGTTGAGGACCAAACCGAGGGCCTTACACTTGCGAGGCACACACTCTACCACTGAGCTAAATCCCCAACCCCGAGGCCTTTCCACTTGCTCTGTAACACCTGAGAATTCTTTTGGTCTTGATAATTCTTTTCATCTTCATGTAAGACTGCTTTGAATTTTTCCCCCTATGGAGACGAGTGAGGCATTGGATCAGACGATTTAATTTACAGAAAAGGAGATGAGGAAAGCCAGGGGTCCATTTACTAGATCACGGAAGGAGTACTATCCAACAGACTGAGACAGAAGCACAGATTTAAACTGTGGAAGGGCCACTGGCTTCAAGTCTTTGCTGACAGTGGGCTCACAGCACCATCTGTACACCAGGAATCTCCCAGAGCCAGAAGCCGACCCTCCCCCAGCACTAGATGGTGACTTCCCTGTCACACATGTGACAGAGGGACAGAGGAGGTGATTTTCTCAAGGATGCTGATTCTTGCCTGACACAAACTCTGCTCATCAACAGACTCAGCCGGCATTCTTCCTGCGCTCGCTTATTCATGAAACAAATGTGTCCCCAGGAGAACGCCAGAATCGCAAAACCAAGTGTGGAGCTCAGAGTCGGGAGGAGGGGACAGCTGGCAGCAACAATGGGGACAAACTTGTATATAAGATGTCTAGAAGAAAGGAGCCAACTAGATGAGCACTGAGAGCGCCTCACCAAAGCAAGGCTTGAATTCCAACAAAAAGAGAAAGTTCTCAAATCCCACTGAGGCTCCAAGGCAGAGGCCACAAGGAACAGAGCTGCCGTGGCTTATAAATCAATCAGTACACACACCTTCAAAATGACACACCGGGAGCCGGGCATGGCGGCATGCGCCAAGGAGTCTGAGGCAGGAGAATTGCTGCAAGTTTGAAGTTAGCCACTATACAATACAGGAACACCCCCACCCCCATCTTTCTCTTTAGAATGGAGGACCATGGGTAATGGAATCTGAGGGTGTTTTGCTCATACAGTCAAGAGCTTAATGATTTAAAGTGTTTTTAGTTAGAAGTGTAAAACTCGCCAAAGTCGAGTTAAAACGGGGCTCCTTCTGTTAAATAGTCAGAATCCATCGGCCTTCCGTGGAGGAAGGGCTCTAAGGATGCAACTCATCAGCTCTTTCATTTGAGTCTCATGGAAGCCTTGATGTGTGGCCCTTGTCTGTTTTTCTGATTAGTGTGTTTGAAACCAGCCAGGTCTAACTCCCAGCGCCAGCAGACCCCAAAGTTCCATCTGATTCCACAACTTTAGCCTACACTATCAACCCCCCCTTCTGACCCCCATTTCCAGCTGACCCCCCCCATCTCCAGCTGACCCCCCATCTCCAGCTGATCCCCATCTCCAGCTGATCCCCATCTCCAACTGACTCCCATCTCCAACTGACTCCCATCTCCAGCTGGCCCCAGGCTCTAGATCTACACCGACCAGCCTGTCCCACAGTGGCATGAAGTAGAACTGAAGTCCATAAGGGGACACGGGTAGAGGTGCAGTTGGGTGAACCTGGGAGAGCGCATGGTGGCAAGGGAGACAGATTCCTGCCCCCTTTTGCTTTTGGGACAAGTGGCAAGTTTCATAAAAAGAGAAGTGAATTGTTGAGTTTCAAATTATTTTGACCAGAGCTAACACATATGGGCCCAAGCGACTTCTGATACACAGCTCAGAGCCCCAGCCACCCCACCTTCTACTCCAGGAGTATGACTGAGAAATACCCACTCACAACCATTTATCTATACAAAGTTAATTTTTAAACTGGTTTTTCTCCTCTGCTATACATTCAGACTACCTTTTTACACTCTGTGCTGATGGTTTCTTGAATTCATCTTCCAATCTTTTTTATTTCAGCAATCCATTTTTAATTATTTCCAAGAGATGCTTTCCATTCCCTTGTTTTTCACAGCCTGCTGTTTTGGGTTTTGTGGGTGTAATATCTTCTCAAGTCTTGCTGAAGATCTAATTAAAATTTTTTCAAACGCTTGTCTCCAGTCTCTAAAAGATGCACTTCCCCCCCAAGGTCACTCTGTTCTGTTCTCTGATGTTTTCCGTGCACAGCTGGTTTGCCAAGTCTGGTGACTTTGGCTATCTGTCTACATTTACGAGTGAGGCTGGATTAACTTTGTATAGCTGGGTTGGTTTCCTACATGGCTGTTTGTTTATATACTGCTGGGAAAGTCTAGATGTGGGGTGGGGCTGTCCACTGGAAGACTCCGCTTTAGAGCATGGAGAGGAACAAGGACCACTCCGATGAGTCCCAGCAAAGGCTGTTTGTTCAGGGCACACTATCTACAGCTATTATGGCTTGCATTTTGGCAGATAACGAAAGGCAGGAAAGAAGGCTTTGGGTCTCCCCGAAATGGGTGCCATTGGCAGAGGACGCTGGACATGGGGTGCTTGGAGTCCATATGACTGGGTAGAATAATATTTGGGTTTTATAACTTGGTCCTAATTTGAATCATGGATTTAAAAACTAGGGTAGGGGCTAGAGAAATGGCCCAATGATCATGAGCACTCACCACACAATCATGGGGACCAGAATTCATGCCCCATCACCCACATAACAAGCCAGACACTTTACAAACACCTTTAATCCTCTCTCAGAGGGACCCCAAACAGTTTTTTTCTGGCCTCCCTATATTCTCACATGTATACATGCCCACATACATGTGCTCATACATTCATCCCCACCCACACAAATAATTAAGAAATAGGGCAGTTTACAGTTCTTTGTCTAGTTCTTGCTACTTGTGGGACGGGAATGAAGATCTTCTGAAGAAACCCTTGTGTCTATCCCTTTGTCTCTCAGACTACTGACACTGGTGGAATTTCCCTAGGAATAGCATGCTGGGAGAAGAAACATGCTGGAGTCTGGTGCCAGTCAGAGGAGGAACTTGGCTCCTGGAAAGAGAGGTCCCACAGTTCCGACAACTTAGCAGACCACCTTGTAGGGAAGTTCGGAGCAGAGACAAGTATGTGGGATGACTACTTGACCATGACGTCGTGGTATGCATACCTCTGGCTGTCTGTGTAAACCTAAACCTCGTGTCAGGACTCCCATGGTGGACTTGGTCGAGAGGTGTGACTAGACCCCTCTGCTCTTCCCGTATAGGCACACTGAGTGCATCTTCTCCCAGTGTCTTTACTACATCTTGTCTCAAGTGGCCGGGTGAGGAAGCAGGCAGGATTCCTGCCCTTGGAAATTGATATTTTAATGAAAGATAGTATAAAAATGTAAGAAAACATTTTTTAAAAAACACTTCAAGAACTATAGACAAGGCATCTGCTTGAAAAGGAGCTCAGGGACCCCAGGAGGGTGAAGAGGAGCCAGTTCTGGGGTGTGTTCTTGGGCAAATGGGGAGTCCTAGTGCAGGTGAAGAAAGGGAACAGAAGATGGGCAGAGGATGAGTCCGGGGTTGAGCACAGGTTAGAGGGGACATGATGTTTTTTCTATGGAAACAGACAAAGACAGGAAATATTCAAAAGCAGTCTCAGAATAAAATGCTTCAGACATAAATCTCTGACTCAATCAGCACCAGGTTTTGGCCATCTGCTGAGCTTAGATGCTCAAAACTCTCGGCCCTTGGGAGCTTTCTGGTCATGGCGTAGGGTCTGGGCAGCTGGTCTTCATGACCAGCTTTCCAAGTTCACAGCCCAGACAGCTTATCTTTCCTCAGCCATATGGCGAGGATAAACTTTCCAGAGCACCAAACTCCACGCAAGAGTGAGATTCAGAAACCTGAGAGGATTATCTTCAGGGTAAGAACACTTTATACAGAACCTAAAAGTTGGGACTAACAGCAGAAAAAAACAAAGGAGCTTAAATTGTTGCCGCCTCTGTGAGCCTCACATCTGTCCACAGAGATGAAGGCTGTGGCTGGCAGTGGAAGCTAGAGCAGCTGCTGGTTGTGAGCTGATGGCCTCAGGCCCTCTGACTGCTTCAGGCAGGAAGGGCCTTGTACTTAGCAGGCTGTGATTACTCCCATTCAGTGACAGGCTGTATGAGGGAGGAGCAATTTTTCCTAGGCTAGAATCTGGTGCCATAGCCAAAAGCCTCAGGGAGCTGGGTCAGATCAGAGACCTGAACAGACAGGCAAAAGGGGCTGATTTCTCTAATAGCTCAGTTCAGTTAATCCTCTGTGGACATAAGCCATGTGTAGCCCCCTCCTTCCAACCCCTAAGAGTGTCACAATGGCTGCAGGAAGTTGTGGGGTGCAGGGGGTTCATTAATCACTATGTTCAAAGCCCATTTCCTAGCTCAGGGAAGCTGAGAGTACTTACCAATATATTTTTTTTTAGTGTAATGATTTTAACCAGCACCCTTTCAATAACATAGAGCATGAAACATGAATTATTATTCAGGAGAACAGAGCTCTGAACTCTGAAAAGCCGAATCTGACCAAGTAGAAAGAAAACAGGAGTGTCCAGTGATTGGCTAGATGTTAGCGGGCTTGGAGGACACTGGGAGTGGTCCACTTCCTTATACTCAAAGGACTGGAGCAGAAAGATTATAATGGCTAGTCAGAAGAATGGATCTCTGGCCCCAGAAAGAGGTGGGACACCATGAGTGGCCCTAAAAGTCACTAATGGATAACTCTCTAAGGCTGGATCCAGAAACCCTACACACAGCTGTGGCCAAACGCTTGCCTTGAGCTTTACACAACACTGTCACCTACTAAGTTCACAGTCAAGCAGAGAATGGGAGTTTGGTTTCCAACACCACCTCAGGCCTCTTCCAACAATGCCGCCTTCTGGCTTCCTCAGGTACTGCACTCACATGCACAAAACCACACACAGGTGCACATTTAAAAATAAAAAATAAAATATTTTTTTAAAAAACACTCAATCAGGTTACAAAATAAAAAGCCAGTAAACATCATAATGCTTTAAGCAACTTTAAGAGTCTGTGTTGGGCTACATTCATAGCTGTCTGTAGGTACATGTGGCCCATGGGCTGCAGGTTAGATGTGCCTGCTAGCAGAAGGCTTTCCTATATAGAACAAGATATATTACTGACTTCCTTAAGACACAATCCAGACTGTCAGTCACTGGGAAAAGACAAAGTCCTTCAGGAAAAACTGATGGTTCTAGGAACTCTAGAGAGAAGTATAAGACCTGTTTAGAATGCAGATGGGTCAGGGGACTCTGGCCATTATCCACTCTCTCCCCTTGCAAGTCTGCTGTACTCTGCAACAAAATTGCCTTGTCTTCTACATTCCTTCTGAGTTCTTTCAACAAAGAGACATGGGAAGAGGGAGGCAAGTGGAGTACAGACAGAGACCCTGGGGGAAGATCATGGGTCCCTTCTATAAGAAAGGGAAAACGATGTCTGCAGCGCCTCTCTCCTGTTCCCAAAACGTACAGCCAGAAGTATTTTCTACACATCATTGAGCTCCACTACCACTCCCAGAGCGCTGATAAGGAAAGGCTGTAGCCATTGGCGGGATTTCTTTCCACATCATGTCTTGGGTCCTGAGTCCTGAGCCTACCACATTTCATGGTGCATCTACTCCATGCTGAGAATTTTCACACACAGCATTTCTGCCCATCTGTGCTCCTTCTGTTTTAGAAAACAGCACTCCACTCACAGTACCTCTGTCAGAGCTGCAGGAGATGATAAGGCAAGCAAACAGGACAATACACAGGTCAGAGTCACCGGCTCACGCAATGAGGGGCAGCTGTTCCTCTTTCTATCCCACAAATCATGCTAATTGAATGCCAGGAAGAGGAGGCCTCCATGGCACTTCCTCTCCAACAGGACCACTCTTCTAAGAACACATCCTTCTCACCATCTTGTCTGTAATGAAGTCAGTTCCCCAGCCAGGCAGATGAGACCTGCTGAACACCTTATTCCTGTCTTCTTGCCTAAGTCCATCTTCCCTCCTTGTGGTGGTTAGTATTGATCCACTTGACAGTATCTAGATACTGAACTTCAGCCTACTCTCTCTTCTTCCTGACTGGTGCAATGTGACCATGTGGAGGGCAAAAAGGTCCTTGTCTCCAGACAATCACTGGAGAAGCCAGGACATGTTAAACACACTGCTTATCTCTCCAGAATGGTGTGTGGGGTGGGGGGTTGTTACAACCTGGTAATCCTTTGCTACCTGCTGAGCCAGGCTCTGCTCATGTCCCCCAGAATGTTATGTCTGTTTATCCCAGACCCTTTCATCCTAAATCTTGAGCATAGCTTCTAAGTACATTAAACCCATCCTTATGACGTATCACTTGTACTCTCAAACACCTTAAGTGGTTTCTATAATATCCTAGGACGAGGCCAATCCTGACTCCCACAGGCATGTTCACCTTAGTCATTCTCCCTGGACCTTATCCTGAGTACTGTTTCTGAATCAACAGAACCCATCTTTATGGAAGAAGCCAGATGTACTTTTATTTTCTTTAATTTTTTGATTTTTTTGAAACAGGGTTTCTCTGTGTAGCTCTGGCTATCCTGGAACTCCCTCTGTAGACCAGCACTGGCCTCACTGTAGACCAATACTGGGATTAAAGGCATGTGCCACCACCATCCAGCCCACATACACTTTATAAAGAGTTTCAATACAAACATATCTTAAGCTTTGTTGTACTCATGGGACAGAGTTACTTGTTATCAGAAAACCTTTTTCCCCCAAAATTGTGCTGTGCTTAAACATGACTAAAATAAACAAACTGGTGTCAGACTCTCAAAGTCTTGACCAGTATCGGTACCTAAGTCGGGCTGAACTGAGTTTCACTCCTGTCTCTTCATGGACCATTTCCCTGCCAGTCAAGAAAGCCTGCAGGGAACCCCACATGACCAGGCACCTCACCTTCCCTGCCATGGTTGACTGCACCCTTAAACTCTGAGCCAAATCAACCCTTCCTTCCTTCCTTCCTTCCTTCCTTCCTTCCTTCCTTCCTTCCTTCCTTCAATTGTTTTTCTCAGGTACTTTGTCAGAGCCACGGACAAGTAGCTGATACACACCCCAAAGCCACACGGGTTGGAAATGGATGATATTAATTAATCAATCATTGATCTAGTTTGTCTTTGGAATAAAATGAAGCTTATTATCCAGACCTTCAGATGCTTTTCTGTTGTTATCTTCCTCTCTTCCCGAGCACTAAATACCCCTGCCTGAGCCTCCCTTGGGGTAATCCCTCCCTCATACCCTGGCTGAGCATTGTGCTGTCGTGACTTCAGGCCATGATGACTTCAGCCGCTTTCTCTGGCTTGGCAGAAGTGGTTTTACCATCTGTGGCTCTGCTAGGAAACACGATGGGAGCAGAGACTTGAGACGTAGAACGCTGGGAGGAAATGACAGCAGGATTCAGATCCCACTCTGAGCTGCCCGTGATGCCAACAGCATCTGAGATAGAACACACTTTACCACCCAGAGGAGCCATGTTCTCCGTTTCCTCACTGTGGAGAAGTTAGTTTCTTCTCTGGGACTGCTTCTTAGAAGGTGGTGGCAGACACCACTCAGGTTACAACCCAGCATTTTCTCTCACTGTCTAACAAGAGAGAGGGTTATAGTT